TGTGCATGCACCATCAAGTTTTTTAAGAAAGCAAAACAAAAACAAAAACACACAATTTTGGGAATATGCTATCGAGGGAAACCCACAAACGGCGGCCTGGTGGCTTACGCCTGTAATTGCAGCACTGGGGAAGCCGAAGGCGGGTGGATCACTTGAGGTCAGGAGTTTGAGACCAGCCTGGCCAACATGGTGAAACCCCATCTCTAATTAAAAAAATTAGTCAGGGATAGTAGCGGGCGTCTGTAATCCCAGCTACTTGGGAGGCTGAGGCAGGAGAATCACTTGAGCCTGGGAGGTGGAGTTTGCAGTGAGTAGAGATCATGCCACTGCTCTCCAGCACTCCAGCCTGGACAACAGAGAGAGACTCCATTTCAAAAAAAAAAAAAAAAGGAAACCCACAGGGCCTGAGATGAAAAAATGAAAGGAGGACCTTCTGATGGGGTGAAGAGGCCTCTCTGGAAAGCTGATCTTTAAGAATGGAGGGATGAAGAGAGACCAGAGAAGGAACATTTGGGCATTCCCTCTTTCCCAGAAGAAAACATCAGGAGAAGCCTCCTAGCCAGTGATGTTCAAAGACAGAACCAGTGCTTGAAAGGAATGTCTTACTTTTCTTCTTGGTACCTTTTCCCCTCTCTTCCTACTAACCTCTTGTGTTGATTTTCTTCTTTTTTGCCATCAGCCTGGACAAACTGCTTGATGCTGGTCTTTATACTGGAGAAGTGACTGAAATTGTAGGAGGCCCAGGTAGCGGCAAAACTCAGGTACACGTGAGGCCAGCAGTCAGGAGGATTTGAGGGTGAGGGTGGTAGATGCATAGCCCAGGATCCCTGGGGGAGCTTCAGCATACTGATGAGTCCAGAGCCCAACAGAGAGAAGATGGGTGATGAGGAATGGGGCTTGGACTCAGCGCATTTGTGTTGCTGGAATCTGGGCAAGGTTTGGTGGGGAGCTCCCATTCTGGACCCTCTCTGAAGTGTCAAGTTCATCCAATGCCCCCACCCCTAGGTATGTCTATGTGTGGCAGCAAATGTGGCCCATGGCCTGCAGCAAAACATCCTATATGTAGATTCTAATGGAGGGCTGACAGCTTCCCGCCTTCTCCAGCTGCTTCAGACTAAAACCCAGGATGAGGAGGAACAGGTAAGGGGCAGGATGCTGGGTTCCATTGAGATTCTGACACAAGAAAACCCCATTACCCCTTAACATTGTAAGAATTTGGGTTGAATAGTCATTCCTTGCCTTCAAACTTGCTGTTCTGTTAATACATCCCGTATTCCTTAAGCCACCCCTGTTGATACCATCATCCTTTTTGGGATGCTACTCACACCGATTCTTCCAGGAAACCCTCCCAGCTCTGTGCGTGCCCTAAACCAGGGCTGGCAAACACCGAGCTTTGTGTTTCCAGTCCATTTCTCGCCCATGAGAAGCATCACTAATCAGTCATATCCCTCTTTCCTCCTGAGTTTGAGTACTTTACAGCTCAGCACCCAGGCAGCCACCACCATGACAACTGGCCCATTAGACAAAGCTCATTTGCCACCCTGGACCTGAATCCTTGCATCCAGGTGCCTCTTCCTTCTCAGCCTTACCTCGACCCCCTACTCCCTCTTATCCAAAGCCCTTGCTTCTCTTTTCCACCCCTTCAGGCAGAAGCTCTCCAGAGGATCCAGGTGGTGCATGCGTTTGACATCTTCCAGATGCTGGATGTGCTGCAGGAGCTCCGAGGCACTGTGGCCCAGCAGGTGAGCCTGCTGTTCTGCCCCTCCTTGCTTAACTCAGCTTGCCAGGTGCTATCTCTGTGGGCAGGTGTCCTACTACAGACTGTTTGGAAATGCAGATGTGCAATTTGGTGACTCCAACTATGCTTGCTACTCCCAGGATGGAATTCCCAAGCGCCTAAATCACATACCTCATTGTTTACATGTTCATCTTCCCTGCTGAACAGTAAAGCCCCCTGAATGGAAGTATCATGTCATATTTATCTCTGCATTCCCCACTAGGTGAGTGAGGAATACTTTTAGCTGCCAAGTAATAGAGGTTGTCTGACAGAGACTTGAACCTTGAGGACATTTAATTATGTCACATGAGTTGGAGGTTAGCAGGTCCATGCTATCAGGGCAACAGTTGGTGTGTCTGATTTTCTTGTTCTTTCCCTCACGGTTGCAAAGAGGCTGCGGAAGCTCCAAGTATCTTGTCTTCACACATCCACATCCATATTCAAGGCAGTAAAAGATAGATGGTTCTTTTCTGTACCTCCTCCCTTTTATCAGGGATGAAGAATCTTTCTCCAGAGCCTACTAATATGTCCCTCTTCCCCTTACATCTAGTTGGCCAAAATGGAGTTATGTGTGTATCTTGGACTAAGGCCTGGGCCCACCATCCCTGAAGTCAGATTTCTGCCCAGTGCCCGAACACATTCAGAGTCGTGTTAACGGGGAGGATTTAGAATGGCATTTGGGTTGGTACTTTGCTATTCATGTTGGGTGCTTAGACAAGATTTGGTGCACTGATTTATAAATGACTAGATGTGGAGGATACCTTAAAGATAGAATAGTTCATCTCAAACTTTTCCTCTCACCCCAAAGCACGACATGTTCGCACAGGCATCCCCGCAACTATATATAAAGTCAACTATTTTTACAAACTTTAGAACATATAATAGTTGAACAAGCTGCAAGTGGTGGCCCACACCTCTAATCCTAATGACTCCAGAGGCTGAGACGGGAGGATTGCTTGAGCCCAGGAGTTGGAGGTTGCAGTGAGCTATGATCATGCCACTGTACCTTACCCTGGGCAGCACAGCTAGACCCTGTCTTTTAAAAAAAAAAAATGTTGAACAAATACTTTTCTCAGAAGTCATAGCTGGTTATGACCCACCAGTTTGTTGAGACGTGATGCTGAATAGTGCTGATCTCACTTTTAGAGATGAGAAGAGTGAAGCCCAGAGAAGTGAAGTGAGTTGACCAAAATTGACCACATATTTAGGACAAGAACTAACCGTATAGCCCAAATCTCTCAATTCCAGATCAGAAGACTGTATTTTTTTACTGTAGGACCATTAGATGGTATATCTTCTATTACTGCATAATAAGTTACTAAAACCTTAGTGGCTTAAGACATGTATTTTTTATCTCACAGTTTCTAGGGGTTAAGAATCTGAGGCTGGGAGCGGTGGCTCACGCTTATAATCCCAATGTTTTGGAAGGCCAAGGCAGGAGGATCGCTTGAGCCCAGGAGTTCAAGACCAGCCTGGGCAACATAACAAGACCCTGAAAAAAGAAAAGGAAGGAAGGAAGGAAGGGAGGGAGGGAGGGAAAGAAAGAAAAGAAAAGAAAGGAAAGAAAGAAATAAAGAAAGAAAGAAAGGAAAGGAAGAGAGAGAGAGAAAGAAAGACAGGAAGAAAAGAAAAGAAAAAGAACCAGAATCAGGATATAAGAAGTAAGGGAGAAGACAAAAGAAGCATCAAAAACAGTTTAAGTCCAGGGAAACCAGGAGGATGCTCCTTCTTGTGTAAAGACAGAAAATTATGGTCAGAAAGATGGCACCAGGCCAGGCATGGTGGCTCATGCCTGTAATTCCGGCATTTTGGGAGGCCAAGGTGGCCAGATCACTTGAAGCCAGGATTTCAAGACCAGCCTGGCCAACATGGTAAAACCCCATCTCTGCTAAAATTACAAAAATTAGCCGGGTGTGGTGGTGCACACCTGTAATCACAGCTACTCAGGAGGCTTAGGCAGGAGAATCGCTTGAACTTGGGAGGCGGGGGTTGCAGTGAACTGAGATAGCACCACTGTACTCCAGCCTGGGCGACAGAGCAAGACTGTCTCAAAAAAAAAAAAAAAAAAAAAAATAACTGAAAACTACACTACCCTAAAGTCATCAAATTTCAGAAAGCCCCATGTAGAGTACTGAGACCTCTGGTCATGGATCTCTCAGCACCCATCTCTCTCCTGTGTCCAGCCTCCCACCATGGTGGTAAGGCCCTTCTTTTCCGACCCCCTCCTTTTTTTTTTTTTTGAGACGGAGTCTCGCTCTGTCGCCCAGGCTGGAGTGCAGTGGCCGGATCTCAGCTCACTGCAAGCTCCACCTCCCGGGTTCACACCATTCTCCTGCCTCAGCCTCCCGAGTAGCTGGGACTACAGGCACCCGCCACCTCGCCCGGCTAGTTTTTTTTGTATTTTTTAGTAGAGACGGGGTTTCACCGTGTTAGCCAGGATGGTCTCGATCTCTTGACCTCGTGATCTGCCTGTCTCGGCCTCCCAAAGTGCTGGGATTACAGGCTTGAGCCACCGCACCCGGCCCAACTCCCTCCTTTCTTTCCCCTGTCCTGCTAACTACTAACCTCAAATTCCTAACTTCCTTGGCTGAAGAGTTTAGCCTTCTCTTTACTTCACTGTCTCCTTCTAGATCATGCCTCCAGTCCTCATCTTCCATATCTAAAATGCCTCCAAATAAATTCCCTAAGTCTTGCTCTGTCACCCAGGCTGTAGTGCAATGGCATGATCTCAGCTAACTGCAACCTCTGCCTCCTGGGTTCAAGCGACTGTCATGCCTCAGCCTCCTAAGTAGCTGGGATTACAGGTGTGCACCACCACACCCGGCTAATTTTTGTATGTTTAGTGGAGATGGGGTTTCACCATGTTGGCCAGGCTGGTCTCGAACTCCTGACCTCAAGTGATCTGCTGCCTTGGCCTCCCAAAGTGCTGGGATTACAGGCGTGAACCACTGCTCCTGCCACTTTAGTGTAGTTTTGATGTGCTGTGATTTAAACCCTTTCTTTCTACCCAAGTCTTCACTGAAGTCTGTTATACATACCAATGGGATGAGGGAGACATTGCTGCTGATGACATTCTGTGATGCCTGTGCAGCCTGCTGTATTTGGGATGAGGGGGACTATTTCTTACTAGTTTTAGATAGAAGAGCAAGCTTGTCCTGTAATGTGTCCTAGAGGCCGACAGGTTCATGAGTGCTTCCCCTACATTCCTTCAGGTGACTGGTTCTTCAGGAACTATGAAGGTGGTGGTGGTGGACTCGGTCACTGCGGTGGTCTCCCCACTTCTGGGAGGTCAGCAGAGGGAAGGTGAGTCATGTGGCAGAGCCTGGGGCCAGTGGAACGTGACCTCGCCTCCCAGCTCTGGAGTCTGGTCTCTGGCCAGCCCCGTCCCTGGTTTTCCGCTGCCCTGCCTCTTTGCTTCTCCTCCTCCTGCAGGCTTGGCCTTGATGATGCAGCTGGCCCGAGAGCTGAAGACCCTGGCCCGGGACCTTGGCATGGCAGTGGTGGTGAGGAAGCAGACTTGGCCAATGAACTTGATTTCTAGTTATTGCTAGCTCTTTATTTCCCTTAAATGTCAGCTTCTGAACCCCCAAAGTGGCCCTTTAGGAAAGGGACATATTCCAGCTTCCCTGGGTCAGCTACAGCTTTGCACCATAAATAGCTAAGGGAATCAGGAATTGTCTTGTTTTGTTTTGTTTTGTTTTGTTCCTACATTTTTTCTTTTTAGAAAGGTTTATTGAGGTATAATTTACATAGAGTACCTTTCTCCTTGTCTGAAGTTTGACTAATGGATATAGTTGTATCCAGTCTTGTGACCCCACCAAAAGGTTCCCCAGGCCCAGGCAACCACTGATCTGTTTTCCATCCCAATAGTTTGGCCTTTTTCAGAACTTCATATAAATGGATCTTTTTGCTATTGAAGTAACTTTTTCTGCTTATGAGGTAGTTTTTTTAAAGTCTGCATGCTTCTCATAGAAAAGATAAAAAATAAATATAAGATTCAAATTTGTCATCAATCTCCACATCCACAGAAACCATATTGATATTTTTACATATCTCCATACAATACTTTTTCTACATATTTACTTATACTTTTAGTCAACTTTCTTCTTCTTCTTTTTTTTTTTTTTGAGATAGAGTTTTATTCTGTTGCCCAGGCTGGAGTGCAGGGGCACAATCACAGCTCACTGCAGCTCGACCTCAAGCAATCCACCTGCCTCAGCCTCCCAAAGTGTTGGTATTACAGGTGTGAGCCCACTCTTAACCAGCTTTTTAACTAAACTAACCTCATCAAAAAAAAAAAAAAAAAAAATAGGCCAGATGCAGTGGTTTATGCTTGTAATCCCAGCACTTTGAGAAGCCAAGGCTGGTGGATCACTTGAGCCCAGGAGTTCGAGACTAGCCTGGGCAACATGGAAAAACCCCACCTCTACAAAAAATAGAAAAACTAGGTGGCCTCGGTGGCAGGAAAATTGCTTGAGCCTGGGAGGTCTAGGCTGCAGTGAGCTGTGATAATGCCACTGCACTCCAGCCTGGGCAACAGAGCAAAACCTCATCTCAAAAACAAACCAAAACAACAACACAAAAAATACTATCTGAGTCCATTTCCTATGTTTTAAAATATTTTTTTTACAAATGTAATTTTTAGCAGCTATATATTTTTTCCAACTTCTCTTATTGTGGTAAAATACATATAACATAAAATTTACTACCTTAACTATTTTAAGGTATACAGTTCGGTGGTGTTAAATACATTCATGACGTTATGCAACCATCACTACCATCCATCTCTATAACTCTTCACCTTGTAAAACTGAAACTCTGTACCCATTAAAAATAACTCATTTCCCCCTTCCCCAGCCCCTGACAACCACCAGTCTACTTTCTGTATCTATGCTTTTTGACGACTCTAGGAACCTCATATACATGGAATCATATAGTATTTACTTTTTGTGACTGGCGTATTTCACTTAGCATAATGTCCTGAAGGTTCATCCACTTGGTAGCATGTGTCAGAATTTCCTTCCTTTTAAAGACTGAGTGGCCAGGCGTGGTGGCCCACGCTTGTAATCCTAGCACTTTGGGAGGCTGAGGCTGGTGGACTGCATGAGCTCAAGAGTTTGAGACCAGCCTGGACAACATGGCGACATATGCCCCATTGCCTTCTGGTTTGGGTCAAACCTGAGGCATCGAGATTTAGTGGAAAGAGCAGGGCACAAGTCAGGAGGCCTAGGTTCTAGTTCCAGACCTGCCATTAGGCTTTGTAACTTTGGGGAAGTTATTTCTCTGTGCTAGGCCTCTGTTTTCCTCACTGTAAAATGAAGCAGTAGTAACAGATATACTAGCATTATGGATCTGTAAGTCTGTTTCTGCTGCAGGTGACCAACCACATAACTCGAGACAGGGACAGCGGGAGGCTAAAACCTGCCCTTGGACGCTCCTGGAGCTTTGTGCCCAGCACTCGCATTCTCCTGGACACCATTGAGGGAGCAGGAGCATCAGCTGGCCGGCGCATGGCGTGTCTAACCAAATCTCCCCGACAGGTGAGCCAACCCCAGGAAGATACCAGTAACCTTGGGCCCTGGAGGGTGGTGGTTTCCATACCCACAGATGTCTTCGAGAAGAACTCTTTAGAGGCTGAAACCTTGCAACTAAAGAAGCTACCCACTTGGGTTGCTTAACTCCACTTACTCCTTCCTATTTCTTCTTCCAGCCAACAGGTTTCCAGGAGATGGTAGACATTGGGACCTGGGGGACCTCAGAGCAGAGCGCCACATTACAGGATGATCAGACATGACCCGTGCTGTTGTTTGGGAAACAGGGGAGCATTAGGGACCCCTCCCAACTTTTCTTCCCAGTGCCTACTGTTTACTGCCACCTGGCACTGGTGACTACAGAAGTTCTCAGGCTGGTCAGAAAAGACATCTTGGGTTCCTTGGCCTCACTCTCTGTAAGCATATAAACCACAGGCGAAAGAGGATGCTGCAGTGTGAGGACCCAGAAATTCATACTGGTGCCATATTTCCTTCCCTTATTTCTGACGTGTATGTTTCCAGTGGAAACGAAGTTCACCCTGGCTGGGAGCATCTCGGAAGAGGCATGCTGGCGACTGGATGGATAACCCTGTGCATCCCCATTGTGTCCTGTGCTCCCTCCTAGCACAGTGGCGAAGCCGGGAAAGCCTCTAACTTGCCTTTGCTGCTGCTGCTTTTTTTATTGTCTCTGCCTTTCCATTTGTTAAATGGGGGCCCACTCTTCCTTAGCTCTGTCTCTGAGTTACTGAGTGGAAATAAGCTTATAAATGAAATACTCTTCCTTATCTCTGTTTTGCTCTTAAAAATATAAAAAGGCAATTCCCCAAGCCCCAGAGCCACCTGATTTTCCCTTAGAAGGTTGTTTTTCAGTTTCCCCCCAGTGAGGCCCAAAGAACAGTTTACTCCTCCTTTCCTCTTGCTGATTTGGTTTCAGACCTGCATGCCTCACCGTGACTAGCTGAGAACGTGTGGGCTCGCTGCAGTCCCAGGGATATAATTTAACAGAAAGGGAGGATATGACCTGCACCACTCCCTGGTGAATCCGGCCACTCGTTTAATATGCATGGTGCCCTGTGGGGCCCCTCCACAGTACAGCATAACCAGAGGTGCTGAACCATGGGGTTCAGAGGTGCCTTGCCCATAAACAGGCAGAGGAGAATTTGCACAGTAAATAGAGCCAGCTGGGAAAATTGATGCTGACGTAAATAATACATGGCAAATCTAGTCCTTTATGCAGAAATTCATTGCTGGTGGCTCCAAGATGCAATATAATTACACCTCTCTTCCTGCCAGCTGTACCACAGCTAGTACTCTAGTGTATGAAATAATCCCCCTGTCTTTTACCAGCACTGTGGCCATCCATCTGAGAGCCATGACCCTGGCTGGGAGGGGAGGAGGACACCAGGGAATGGAAAATAAAAGGAAAAGTAGAGAAATGATCAGGATTGTTTACTGGCCACATCTTTTAAAGGAAGGTCGTCTTTCTTGGTTAGAGAGCCTGTTGTGTAATTAATCAGTTATGTCTTGGCTGCAGGAAAGGAGGGTCAGAGTTACACTCAGAAAGTAATGACATTTAGAGGTGATGAATGCAGCAGGGATAGAACCATGGAGGATTGGGAAGGAGTGGCAAACTGGCACCAGGGTTGGATCGAGGACAGGGTTGGTAAGCCTAAGCCTGGGTTCCCCCAGGCTTGCTTTTACAGAAGACCCCAGGAGAAATTAATCTTCAGTATCTTTATACCATGGGTGATTGGCACATTCCTGCAACCACAGTAAGAAGCAATACATGAAGCTGGAAATTGCAAATTCCTGCCACTCGAGGTACTACTTGGGCATCTTAAGCCCATAGCAGACATCACCAATTGGGCACAAGCACTCTTTTTTGTGGAATTCAGTGTTTTTGAAGTTTTTCTCAATACAGCACTCCAGGGAGCCACTACCAGTCAGTTGGAGTTGGTATTCAAGGTGGAGTCTGGTTGGCATCTCTGCCCTATTCCCTGTATGTAGTGAGTTCAGGTACTTAATACCTAACTGAGGACCCTAGGACTGCAGTTTGAGATCATCTGGGGCCAGGCACAGTGGCTCACACCTATAAGGGTGGCACTTTGGGAGCCTGAGGCAGGAGGATCACTTGAGCCCAGGAGTTTAAGAGTTTAAAACCAGCCTGGGCAACATGATAAGACCTCGTTTCTACAAAAAAAAATTTTTTAAATTAGCTAGGCATGGTGCACCTGTGGTCCCTACTACTTGGGAGCCTGAGCCAGAAGAATCTCTTGAACCTGGGAGGCTGAGGCTACAATGAGCCCTGATCGCACCACTATACCCCAGCCTGGGTAACAGAGCAAGACCCTGTCTCAAGAAAAAAAAAAAAATCATCTGGCCCATCCTGTTACTTAACAGAGAAGGTACCTGAGGCTCAAAAAGGATGATTGACAGTCCTAGTGGCAGAATGGAGGTGTGATCTGGAACCCAGAACTTGATTCCTAGGCGAGGACCCCTTTTTTTTTTTTTTTTTTAAATCTCCACATTGGCCAGGCGTGGTGGCTCGTGCCTGTAATCTCAGCACTTTGGGAGGCCGAGGTGGGTGGGTCACCTAAGGTCAGGAGTTCCAGACCAGCCTGACCAACATGGTGAAACCCCGTCTCTACTAAAAATACAAAAATTAGCCAGGCGTCGTGGCGCATGCCTGTAATGCCAGCTACTCAGGAGGCCGAGTGGGGAGGATCGCTTGAGCCCAGGAGGCAGAGGTTGCAATGACCTGAGATCATGCCACTGCACTCCAGCCTGGGCAACAGAGACTCTGTTTCAAAAAGAAAAAACAAAACGAATCCCTGCATTTTATTTATTTAATTTCCAGTCCATACAGGTCTCTTCCTGCTAGGGCTGTAACTCCATCTGAAGGCACCATAGCTCTCACTCAAGTTGCTGCTGTGACCATGGGAAGGTGTTCCATTCACTGCTACTTCAGACCACCATGTGACATTCCTGCAGGCTGTGTCCCTCACAGCCACCTTTATCCTTTGGATCCTCCTAGACCAGGGCTTTGTCTTGCCTGCCTGCTGCCACTGCACTCTGTTCTGGCCACATCACACTGTGCAGTCCCCTGGTAGGACTTGGGCTGGGCTGGCTCTCCTGTCCAAGTGCCTTTTGCTCCTTTTGCTTACGTGTCTGTCTCTGCCCAGCTCCCAGTGTCTGGTGCACACCCACCCTGACATCCTTTTTTATGCCTCAGCTGTGATCTAGATCGATCTAGATCGATGCTTACAGTAACTCCCCTGTATTCTTTATTCACTGTTCATGTGTCTGCCTACAGGCTCCCACTTTTTGTCAGTTTTTCTCTTTACACATTATGGAAGCTCAGTAATTATTAAATAGATGAATGATGTTTTAAAAATATATTTTTAAAAAAGCAAAGGACTGGCTCTATCTCAGGGGTTCCTTCCATAAAGTGTCAGCTTTCAGTTTCCCCTATGGGAGTGGTTTGAGACCTGAGGGTACTCTCTAGTTCTTAGGAAAAAAAAAAAAAATATATATATATAATACATACTAGTATACTATACACACACCACACAGCACACAACGTAAAGTATATATTACACAACATACAATATGATATACACAGACGCATCTATTCACATACGATAGTATATACCCACCACCACATTATTATTAATATATGAGCCAGGTGCAGTGTATGGCCTGTAAACTTCCCAGCACTTTGGGAGGCTGAGGCAGGCAGATCACTTGAGGTCAGGAGTTCAAGACCAGCCTGGCCAACATGGTGAAACTCTGACTCTACTAAAAATACAAAAATTAGCTGGGTGTGGTGGCTCGCACCTGTAATCCCAGCTACTTGGGAGACTGAGGCATGAGAATCGCTTGAACCTGGGAGATGGAGGTTTCAGTGAGCCGAGATTGTGCCACTGCACTCCAGCCTGGGCAACAGAGTGAGACTCCATCTAAAATATATACACACACACACACACATATATTCACACACATATACATATATATATATATCTATGAATGAATGAGTGGGCTTTAATACATTTTAAAGATGGCAAGGGAGGAATGCAGGAACATTTTTCTCTTGATCTAATCATTGAGTCCCCAGAGTGTCTTCTTACAGATTTTTTACAGGGGACTATTGTATGCCCTTTGTCTGACATCAGACAAAATTAATGTTGAGATCCTACTATGTGCTAGCGCTTGATGGCCTTAATTAAAAATCTGACATTTGAATTCCCAAGGACGCAGGCAAAAAGTCCATGTATCATTAAGGCTGCAAGTAACAAAACCTAACTTAAAGAAGTGTAAATAATAGGGACACTTATTTATATATATTTGTTTTATGTTTCAAGACAGATTCTTGCTCTGTCACCCAGGTTGGAGTGCAGTAGCACAATCACGGCTCACTCTACCCTCTACCTCCCAGGCTTAAGTGATCCTTCCACCTCAGTCTCCCAAGTAGCTGGGACTACAGGTGTGCACCACCACACCCATCTAAGTTTTGTATTTTTTGTAGAGATGGAGTCTGTCTACGTTGTCTAGGCTGGTCTTGAACTCCTGGGCTCAGGTGATCTAGCCACCTTGACCTCCCAAAGTGCTAGGGATTATAGTCAAGAGCCACCATTCCTGGCAGGGACACTTATTATCTCTGATAACATGAAGCCCAAGGTTCATTAATTTAGTGGCTCATTGTGAAATGGCATAGGGCCTTTGCATCCTTCTGCTCTGTTCTTTTATGTTGGTTTTGTCTTCAAGCTTGTTCCCCTTATGAAAGCCTGGCTGCAGCCATTCTGAGCATCAATCCAGACATGACAATATCTACAGGCAGGAGAAGGGTCATCTCCTGTGTGTCCTTTAAAGAACAAGGTGTTAACATGCCAGGAACTATGACTCCTGCCTGTAATCCCAGTACCTTGGGAGGCCAAAGTAGGAGGATCGCTTGAGGCCAGGAGTTCCAGACCAGCCTGGGCAACATAGCAAGACCCTATCTATAAAATAAAATAATAATAAAAATTAAGAAAACAAGGTGTTAAAAGACAAAATTAAAGCAAATATAGTTTTGCAGATTGTAATTGACTTTTATTTGCAATTCTAGAATTGGGCTGCCCTCAGAACCAGGACAGGTTCAGAGAATTCCAGAACTGCAACATAGTCTGAAAGCATTTATGGTCAGAAAACAGAAATGAGATACAGAGACAGCTAATTGGTTACAGCTCTGCCTTTGCCTTATTTGAAAATGGTTTGAATAGTTGGCTGCCTGGAACCCACTGAAGCTGATGATATGATTGGCTGAGACTCAGCAATCTGTTACAAAAGTATACTCCTAAATTAGGTTTTCGGGTAGTTTGCATACTAAGGCTGCAGTTTGTTAAGGGCCCAAGTACGGAAGCCTCCTCAGGTCAATTTTTTTTTTTTTCTTTTTGAGATGGAGTCTTGCTCTGTTGCCCAGGCTGGAGCGCAGTGGCATGATCTCGGCTCACTGCACCTCCGCCTCTCGGGTTCAAGTGATTCTCCTGCCTCAGCCCCCTGAGTAGCTGGGATTATAGGCACATGCTACCACGCTCAACTTTTTTTGTATTTTTAGTAGAGACGGGGTTTCACCATGTTGGCCGTGACTGGTCTCGAACTCCTGACCTCAGATGATCTGCCTGCCTCGGCCTCCCAAAGGGCTGGGATTATAGGCATGAGCCACTGTGACTAGCCCTCAGGCCAAATGTAGCTTTTGTTTGTTTGTTGCTTGTTTGTTTGTTTGAGACAGAGTCTCACTTTGTCACCAGGCTGGAGTGCAGTGGCACGGTCTTGGCTCACTGCAACCTCCGCCTCCTGGGTTCAAGCAATTCTCCTGCCTCAGCCTCCAGAGTAGCTGGGATTACAAGCATGCACCCCCATCCCCGGCTCTTTTTGTATTTTTAGTAGAGACGGGGTTTCACCATGTTGGCCAGACTGGTCTCAAACTCCTGACCTCAGGTGATTCACATGCCTCTGCCTCCCAAAGTGCCTGGATTACAGGCATGAGCCACTGCACCCGACCCCAAATTTAATTTAACAAAGGACTAACTCAGAACTAACTTCCAACCAAAGCTGACTCACCTCAAATCTCACTGGTGCAGAATTGCTTCATACACCCACGTGTAATACAGTAACTGGTAAGAAAAAGGGACTGCTGTGATTGACTCGAACCAACTAGGAAATAGCCCTGGAGCTGAGGCTGGGGACAGGTTTTCCTGAAGCACATGCTGGAGCCACTGAAAGAAAAATGGGAGTTCTGCTTTCTACTAGAAAGGAGAGTGTGTGGATGAACTGGATGCTGGGTGGGCAGCCTCTCACTAGTACCTACGGTAGTCCCCAAGACGAGTTAATCAAGGCTCTATTATGTATTCTTAGGCCCCTGATGCATGTCTCATTATGACCTTAGGACTGCCTTGTG